GAGGGCAAAATTAAAAATGGACTCTCAAAGGGGCATTTTTGAAAAGGGGTATTGAAAAAGGGGTATTTTTAACAATTTCTCATTATTTATATCTCTATATATATTTATTGGTTTATATAAGCGTATACTCCCTCCGTATCAAAAAGATTGATTTCATAGAGTTTTCACACTAATTAAGAAAAATATTTAATGTTTAGTTATAAATGCATAATTTATTCATACCAAACCATTTCTCATAGCTATTAACCAATAGTAATTCATCAAATTTTAAAATTCTCAATTAATGATTCTTGAAATTCACAATTTATTAACATTAATTGATAAAAAATATACAGAAAATCAAGTTTTTTGATACAAAAATAAAACCTCAAAAATCATTTTTTTATGATACAGAGGGAGTAATAATTAAACAAATTATCACAAAATGCCAAAAAAACGAAAGACAATTAATTTATAATTAGGCTCATTAGTCAAATAGCCAATAACTTGCCCCATACCTAAGATAGTTAATTTAGGCGAAACGACAGAGAATTTAAGGACAATTGACTATAGAAATGATTCTATATTATACTATTCACAGTGTCCCAACTATATAAAAATTGCCTAACACATTGCCACCGTCGTTGACAACTTTTCTTAATTTCGAAATTTACAACATAGTATATAAAGAAATGAATGAAGATTGATCTTTATATAGTATTCTCTCCGTTTCATAATATAAATCGTTTTAGCTTTAAGCACGCAAATTAGGAAAATTTACTTTTAAAAGGTTAAGCCAATTATAAAAAAGACTGTATAATATAAATAATTATAAAATATTAAAATAATAAATTATTTGCATAGGAACTTGAAAATTACTTATATTGTGAAACAAATTTTTTTCTCTAAAACGACTTATATTATGAAACAGATGGAATATATAATTAATAGAGGCGAGACATGAAGGAAGATGGATCTATACCAAAACAGCTGGGCAGCTTTGAAAATGTATTGTTCGATGATAATAATATCTCAATAACAACGCGTTTTTATCTCAGAAGACTCCAATATATTGACTTGGAACCACTAAAAGTAGCATTATTATTGTTTTGTTATATATGTAATCCCAAAAAGGAAAAAACAAAAATATATAAATTAAATTGGGGGAAACAGCCCATATATATATATATATATATATATATATATATATATATATGTAATTGTTGATATTATTGGTTCAATTTAGAAAGAAAACAAATTGTATATTACTTCAAAATTTTATAAACAATTCAAAAATTAATGGTTTGTGTTAACCTGATAGATAAATAAATAATTCTCCACTTGGTAAACAAATACGTAGGAAAAGAAATTACAGACAAAACCTCAATATTTCTAATTTAGCCATACAAACCAAACTATCGGTCAATAAACAACTTAAAATCAAGCTAACCGAAAAATAATTAGAATTAGTATAATTATAATCAAATTAAATTCGTCTAAAATTGTAGAAAATGTTGGGATCTAAAAGAATGAGACTACATCATTTAAAACCATTTGAGTTGTTATGTCTCAAACTTCTAACACCGATTTGATGCAACAACATGCTTAACATGGATCATATCAACGCTTCAAACTCTGAATATAGAGCGGATAACCTTTTTTTACATTTGACTGCTAGCAACTTTGTGCTTCCATTCTTATATTTTATATAGACTTACACTCATTCTAATTGACGATTTGGTTTACGTTCTTGAAAATATGGAAATTGAAATTTACTCTACAAAAATTGTTATAGACTTTGATCAGTAACTATGTACCGTTATAGTATAGGGTATACCGTTTTGACAATTATCAATCACAAAAGCAATACTAAAAGCATTACTAAAAAATGTTATTCGCAGTTTTTTTTATATAGCTTTCATGTACTACTAGTTTTTACAGTTTTGCATTGTTACGTAAAAACTTATTAATCCAGTTTATCGCTAAAAAACTTGTACAGTTTTATATTACAAATCGGACCTTACGCTGATTATAATTTTGTAATTTGTCACGCTTAGATTAAATATATTCATGTTTATATAATAAGATAAGATAACATGAATGTATTATTATATTATACTGTATGATAAAATAACTACAGTCTAAAAATACCAAAAATTTAATTCGGACCCACATCCCAAACCTCTCCCACTATATATATTTGGTCTATATAAAACCCATTAAACCTAAACTTTTCCAAATTCATACCAAAAAAACATTTAATAACACCAAAATCTACAGAAAAATAAAATGCTATCTCCCAAACTCTTCCTCGTAACACTCTTCTTATCTCTTCAAACACTCTTCATTGCTTCTCAAAATCTTCTCCCTTCTTCTTCAAACTCTTCATCTACCATCTGCAAAACGACACCGGATCCAAAATTCTGCAAATCAGTGTTCCCACAAACATCTCAAGGCGACGTCCGCGAATACGGCCGCTTCTCCCTCCGCAAATCGCTAACGCAATCGCGAAAATTCACACGCACGATTGACAAATACCTCAAACGCAACAATGCCCTACTCTCCCAATCAGCCGTTGGAGCTCTCCAAGACTGCCGTTACCTCGCAAGCCTCACAACAGACTATCTCATAACGTCGTTTGACACCGTCAACATCACTACATCATCCAAAACGTTGTCGTTTTCCAAAGCCGACGAAATCCAAACACTTCTCTCCGCCGCGTTGACTAACGAGCAAACATGTCTTGACGGAATCAACACCGCCGCTTCCACTTCTTGGACCATACGAAACGGCGTCGCATTGCCTCTAATCAACGACACGAAGCTCTTTAGCGTCTCGCTCGCATTATTCACCAAAGGTTGGGTTCCAAAGAAGAAGAAACAAGTAGCCGGTTACTCTTGGGCTCATCCGAAGAACACACACAGTCACACAAAACCATTCCGTCAGTTCCGTAACGGAGCTTTACCGCTAAAGATGACGGAACACACACGCGCCGTTTACGAGTCTTTAAGTAGGAGGAAACTGGCAGACGACGACAATGATGTAAACACGGTGCTTGTGAGCGACATCGTAACGGTGAACCAAAACGGAACGGGGAATTTCACGACCATAACGGAAGCTGTTACGGCGGCGCCGAATAAAACTGACGGTACCGCCGGTTATTTTGTTATCTACGTGACGTCAGGTGTTTATGAGGAAAACGTAGTGATTGCGAAGAACAAAAGATATCTAATGATGATTGGTGACGGCATAAACCGTACGGTGGTTACCGGTAACCGGAATGTTGTCGACGGTTGGACCACTTTCAACTCCGCCACTTTTGGTACGTCTATCTATAAGAGATAATGCTCTATTATTTTTTACCCATAAAAAAAATAATGCTATTTTTTGCACATGCACAACTTTAGTTTTTAACTATTTATTGAGCAATTTAAGAAATAATAATTTTAAAAGTTTATAGAAAATAATACCTTGATGAAAAAATGATTAATAAGTATCGTATTACAAACTTTTTAATCATTTGCAATTATCTATTTTTAGCATTTTAAAATGGTTCATGCATGTCGTGTAAAAATTATCAAATCACCGGCACTTTTATTACGTTGCCGACGATACACATGGCTATGATGAGTCGATGACTTTGGGTGTGACTGGTTATACATTATAGAAGAAAAATAAAGGATAAACAAATAATTCTTCTGTATTCTACTAAAAATAAACCAATCAAATAGAAAAGAGAAAATTTACTTTTTTTCTCAGTTCTTCCAAAAAGTGACGTAAAATGAAGAAACTTTTCAATTATAAAATACATGGTATACAAAATTCCTCCAGTTTGTACTTTTATTTTCTTCTGTTTTCTTATGATTATTTTCTTCTTTTTTCTTCTAATATTTACCAGTCATAGCCTTTGTGTAAAACTAATTACCACAAAAATTATTCAAACTTTTTTAGACATTTTTACCTGCGTAGTAGTTCGGATCATAATTGCACGTTTTTCACTATATGACAAACTTTATATTACTTCTAGGAGTGTGTAGTGAATAGATGACAAGACGCATTATTGAATTACTGTTACCATTTAATTTATTTATTTCTATAGAGATTAAGAAAATCATTGCTACTTTTTTTTTTCCAGCCGTGACATCGCTGAACTTCGTTGCCGTGAACATGACTTTCCGAAATACCGCTGGACCAGAGAAGCACCAGGCCGTGGCTATGAGGAGCAGTGCGGATCTTTCAATCTTCTATAGTTGCAGTTTCGAAGCTTATCAAGACACTTTATACACTCATTCGCTAAGACAATTCTATAGAGAATGTGACATTTATGGAACAGTGGATTTCATATTCGGCAATGCAGCTGTTGTGTTCCAAAACTGTAATCTATATCCAAGACAACCGATGCAGAACCAGTTCAACGCTATTACAGCTCAAGGTCGTACTGATCCGAATCAGAACACAGGAATTTCGATCCATAATTGTACGATTAAACCGGCAGATGATTTGGTTTCGAGCAACTATACGGTTAAAACGTATTTGGGACGACCATGGAAGGAGTATTCACGGACCGTTTTTATGCAATCGTACATAGACGAGGTTGTTGAACCGGTTGGTTGGAGAGAATGGAACGGAGATTTCGCATTGAGTACATTGTACTATGCTGAGTATAACAATACCGGATCCGGTTCAAATACTACAGACCGAGTGGTTTGGCCTGGTTATCACGTGATTAATTCTACCGATGCGAATAATTTCACGGTCGAGAATTTTTTGTTAGGAGATGGTTGGATGGTTCAGAGTGGTGTACCTTATATTAGCGGTTTACTTTCGTAATTTCTTGTATTTGATTATTTGTTTTAGCTATTAATTATTTTCACTTATGCAAATTTTGGTCTTAATTTTGAATATTCATTAATAAATAATGAAATTTAATAAATTTTTATTTACATTATTGATATTTATGGTCAGCCATACAAATAAATAAATATCTCAAATTCAAGACATTTCTGTAGATAAATCATTCACACCTGGATGACAAAAAAAAAAAAAAAATCATTCACACCTGAGAGTAAGAACTGAGAAGAAGCAATGGAGAAGATAGAGCACACGACGGTTTCTACCAATGGCATAAACATGCATGTGGCTTCGATTGGTTCAGGTCCAGTGATCCTCTTCCTCCATGGATTTCCCGATCTCTGGTACTCATGGCGTCACCAGCTTCTCTCTTTCGCCGCCTTAGGTTACCGCGCAATCGCTCCAGATCTCCGCGGTTACGGCGATTCCGATGCGCCGCCGTCTCGTGAATCTTACACTATCCTTCATATCGTCGGAGACCTCGTCGGATTACTGAATTCACTCGGTGTTGATCGGGTTTTCCTCGTCGGTCACGATTGGGGAGCAATTGTTGCGTGGTGGCTCTGTATGATCAGGCCTGATCGAGTCAACGCGTTGGTCAACACTAGCGTTGTGTTTAATCCGAGGAATCCTTCGGTGAAACCTGTTGATGCGTTTAGGGCTTTGTTTGGCGATGATTACTACATCTGCAGGTTTCAGGTGAGACTTTAAACTCATGAAAACTAAAATTGAAATGAAAATTAGGGTTTTGGTGAAGTTCTCAGTAGTTGAAATTAAAGGCGTAGTTAGGAACTTAGGGTTTACGAAGCTCAGTGAAAGATAGCTTTGATGATTACTGTTCAGGATAGAAATTAGAAACTGTTACTTCATGAATTGGTTAGTTCAACAAGAGTTGAGACAAATTACTTATAAGCTTTGCTGTTTGGTGTTTAGTTGTGTCAAGTTATTAAACTGATTGAAATTGCTGCTTGAAGAAAGCTGAGCTTTTATGTAACAATGTATCAAAAAATGGGAAATTTCTCAACGACCAGTAATTTATGTTTGGATCTATAGAATTAGGGACTATGCACCTACCTATACATATAGCTCAAATTAGCTCAGCATCTGATAATGCAAGTTGCAATTGATAATCTGAAAAAGGCAACAGTGCTTACTTAAAAATGGTCTAGTGAAAGTCAAAGTCATATACTTTATTTGGGTATATGGTTACAGTATTGTGGTTTTCCATTGCTGAATTTGGTCTCTTTACTTATGATTTTGAGTTTCTTTTCTCAGGAGCCTGGAGAAATCGAAGAGGACTTTGCTCAAGTTGATACAAAGAAGTTAATAACCAGATTTTTCATTTCGCGTAACCCACGTCCACCTTGCATTCCAAAGTCAGTTGGTTTCAGAGGTTTACCTGATCCACCTTCTTTGCCTGCTTGGCTCACTGAAGAAGATGTCAGTTTCTACGGAGACAAGTTTAGCCAAAAAGGCTTCACCGGTGGACTAAACTACTATCGCGCCCTGAACCTGTAAGTCTTATGAATTCTAGCCACCAATTCTACATCATACATCATCTTTTCATGGTTAATCTTGGACTGGTCTTATCCTACCTGTAGAAGCTGGGAACTAACGGCTCCATGGGCCGGTCTACAAATCAAGGTCCCTGTGAAATTCATAGTGGGTGATCTAGACATAACATACAATATCCCCGGAACGAAGGAATACATACATGAAGGTGGTTTGAAGAAGCACGTACCGTTTCTACAAGAAGTGGTGGTATTGGAAGGTGTGGGTCACTTCCTCCATCAAGAGAAGCCTGACGAGATCACAGACCATATCTATGGCTTCTTCAAGAAATTCAGAACCCGCGAAACTGCATCCTTGTAGTAGTTCTCTGTCTGCACAATGTCAAATTCAAGGTAGTCAAGGTTACTTGCTGTCTATACTTGGTCTGTGCCTACTTTGTAATATTTTGAAGGATGCTGTGTGTATTTTTACTTGTTTAATAATTTAGAAAAATATAATAGAACAACTAGTAGTATTATATATTCTCAAAAATTAAAAAACTATTTTCTCAAATGTTGGCTATCTCCGGTCCAATATATCCAAATGAATTTTGAACAATGTTGAATTCCTATTATATCTAGAAAACATGAAAACATCAATAAGCATCAACATTTTTTAAAATGTATATCAGAAATATTTGTACAATTTTATCAAAAACAATAAATCTTGCAAGGACATTTTATACCCTCCGTTTTAATTTAGTTGTCGTTTTAACATTTAAATTTTGTTTTATAATAATTGTCGTTTTAAATTTTTAATGTAGATGTTTTGTAAAAATTCCAATTTATTTTCACTATTTTAATGTTTTCACCAATAAAAAAATTAGAAAATATATTGAGTAAAGGTAAAACAGAAAATTTAATTATTTTTTTAATATTTGTGCAAAAACTTTAAACGACAAGTAATATAAAACGGAGGAAGTAACCATTTTAGTTTTATGGCCGGAGGAAATGGTATTTACTTTTTTGGCAGGGGATATTTTCAACAAATCTCAAGCGCGTCCGAGTCACGCGCCTGTTACGCGTAAAACTCATAGACATAATATTCACAATTAATTGAAGACGCCAGTGAGAAGAAAAAAACACTCCGGAGACGAAAAGACTACAACACCCTCGTCTTCTTCCGTCGCACCGCTTCTTCAGCAATGTCATTTTAGTCAAACCCAAAATTCCCCTCTGAAGAAAAAAACCCACCAAATCGATTTCGTTGTCCCAATCCAAAATTCCTCCATCTTCTTCGCTGTAACGCTTTTTACCTAATCGGAGAGAAACAATGCAATCGGCGAAAGGACGGCGGAAAGTTGGCTCCACAACCGCCGGAACCGGTATAGACTCGGCGGAGAAGCTTGACGAACTCTTGATATCGTCTGCGATTTGTAACGGTGAAGATTTAGGACCATTTGTTCGGAAAACTTTCGGTACAGGGAAACCAGAGACTCTTCTTCATCATCTCAAGTTTTTCGCACGATCTAAAGAATCAGAGATCGAAGAGGTATGCAAAGCTCACTATCAAGACTTTATTCACGCCGTAGATGATCTTAAATCGCTTCTCTCAGATGTTGAATCGCTTAAATCCGCGCTTTCCGATTCAAACTCTAAACTCCAATCTGTTGCGGCGCCGCTTCTTTCGTCTCTTGATTCGCTTGTTGAGGCTCAGACTGTGTCCAAGAACGTCGATCTGGCGATTGGAGCGGTGACTCATTGTGTTCGTGTTATGGAACTTGTTTCTCGAGCTAATCAGCATCTTCAGAGCGGTAACTTTTACATGGCGTTGAAGTGTGTGGACTCGATTGAGAGTGATTTGATGGAGAAAACTCCTTCGTCAACGCTGAAACGGATGCTGGAGAATAGGATTCCGGCCATTCGATCTTATGTGGAGAGGAAAGTGAATAAGGAGTTTGGAGATTGGTTGGTTGAGATCCGTGTGGTGAGTCGGAATTTAGGTCAGTTGGCTATTGGTGAGGCTTCCGCGGCTCGTCAGCGAGAAGAAGAGCTCAGGATCAAGCAGAGGCAAGCGGAGGAGCAGAGCAGACTCAGTCTACGCGATTGCGTTTATGCGCTAAACGAAGAAGAGGATGATGAATTTGGGTCTGGTCATGAAGGCAGCGATGGTGGTAGTTCCGGAGGTGGATTGCTAGGTTTTGATTTGACTCCATTGTATAGAGCTTATCACATTCATCAGACACTATCTCTTGGAGATAGTTTTAAGCAGTACTATTATAATAATAGGGATCTTCAGCTTACCTCTGACTTCCAGGTATCTACTATGACTCCGTTTCTCGAGTCACATCAGACGTTTTTCGCCCAGATTGCTGGGTTTTTCATAGTAGAGGATAGAGTTTTAAGGACTGGAGGAGGGTTGATTTCGAAGCTGGAAGTAGAGACTTTGTGGGATACTGCTGTTACTAAGATGTGTGCTGTGTTGGAGGATCAGTTCTCTAGAATGCAGACGGCTAATCATCTCTTGCTGATTAAGGATTATGTGAGCTTGTTAGGGGTGAGTCTACGCAGGTATGGCTATGCTGTTGATTCCCTTCTCGAAGTATTAAGCAAGCACAGGGACAAGTATCATGAGTTGTTACTGTCTGATTGCCGTAAACAGATCACAGAAGCTTTATCAGCTGATAAGTTTGAGCAGATGTTGATGAAGAAAGAGTATGAATATTCCATGAATGTGCTCTCTTTCCAGTTACAAACAACAGATATAGTACCGGCATTCCCTGTCATTGCTCCATTTTCGACCACCATCCCAGATTGTTGCCGAATTGTGCGGTCTTTTATCGAGGATTCGGTTAGTTTCATGTCTCACGGAGGTCAGCTTGATTTTTATGATGTAGTGAAGAAGTATCTGGATAGGCTTCTAGGCGAGGTTCTTGACGAGGCTCTGTTGAAGCTGATTAACACGTCGGTTCATGGAGTTCCTCAGGCAATGCAAGTTGCAGCAAACATGGCCGTGTTTGAGCGTGCTTGCGATTTCTTCTTCCGTCACGCTGCACATCTTTCAGGAGTTCCTTTGAGAATGGCGGAGAGAGGTAGGAGGCATTTCCCATTGACCAAATCTCAAAACGCTGCAGAAGATACACTCTCAGGAATGCTTAAGAAGAAGGTAGATGGTTTCATGACGTTGCTCGAGAATGTCAATTGGACAAGCGACGATATTCCACAAGGTGGGAATGAGTACATGAACGAAGTGTTGATGTACTTGGAAACTTTGGTTTCCACTGCGCAACAGATATTACCCCCTAAAGTCTTGAAAAGGGTTTTGCGCGATGTCATTGCTCACATTTCTGAGAAAATCGTTGGAACGTTATGCGGAGATCTAGTAAAAAGATTGAGCATGGCTGCAATCAAAGGACTTGATGTGGATATTCAGTTGCTGGACTCGTTTACAGAGAACCTAACTCCATTCCTCACAGATAAAGAAGCGAGAGAGATGAAAAAAGCATTCATCGAGATAAGACAGATGATCAATTTGCTTCTGAGTAGTCACCCTGAGAATTTCGTTAACCCGGTTATCAGAGAAAGAAGCTACAATGCTTTGGATTACCGGAAAGTTGCAACAGTTTCAGAGAAATTCAGAGACCCATCAGATAGTATTTTCGGGACTTTTGGAACAAGAGGATCGAGGCAAAACCCGAAGAATAAATCGTTAGATGCGTTGATAAAGAGACTGAAAGATGTGAGCTGATGATGTATCCAGAGCACAAACCCAAAGCGTAAGTACGATCCCGTCCTTGGTTTTATCTATGATCTATTGTTAATTATATGATTGCTTTATATGTCATTGTTGATGATTCGTTGGGTCTCTCAGAAAGAAAGGCAAAAAAAAAACACAAAACTGATTTCACCCCCAAGATTGTATCTTTTTTTTTTCCTTTTTTTTTTTTTTTCGTCTGAATGATTATATAACAAAAGTGAAATACGTTGTCGGAATACAAAGGCCGGCGGAACTTTAATCCCCAGAAACTAAGCCGGCGATCAACTAAATGATCCCAGAAACTAAGCCGGCGATCAACTAAATGATCCCAGAAACTAAGCCGACGGATAACAAGATCTTTTTTTTTCCTTCCATTAATAGCATTTTCGGAAATGAGTTGATTTTGAAATTCAAGATTCATGTCACCTCAGCCAAACCAAGGCTTGACATATCCCCATACGATCCTATATCCGTTGTTTTTCTCAGTTTTTTTTTAACCGTTTTCAGTCGTCAATCGGATCCCCCTATTAACTATTAACGGTTTATTGACGATTTTGATTTGGTAAAATCAATCCAGTGGTATGTTAACTTGGCTCAGTTTCTTTACTTCAATCAAGGTTGGTTTGGTTACCACGTGATCGTCGTTTTCCCCTATTAACACGTGTGCCCTCTCTGTCAGTCAAATCGTCACCGTACATCTAATTTGCATAGTCTCTTCATCAGACGCGCTGATTTTTACACAGTCCACAAACACACCTAACAACTGTTTTCGCCTTCTGTACTTAATGAGACATTTCAACGCTTGATCAAAAGAGAACTCAACTAGACACGAATCATAAGAACAAAACTTAAAGAACCCATGTCGCCATACGCGAATACTTGTACTATCATCTTCTTTCTTCTATTCTGTACCGTCTCTTTCGCCGTCCCCGACCAAAAGCCAACCGCTTACGACGCCGTGAAACGCTATAACTTACCACCCGGAATCCTACCAAATGGCGTTATTGACTACGAGCTTAACCCAAAAACCGGCGATTTCAAAGTCTACTTCAATGACACGTGTGAATTCACCATCCAATCCTACCAGCTTAAGTACAAATCAACTATCTCCGGCGTTATATCTCCCGGTCACGTCAAGAATCTGAAAGGCGTTAGTGTTAAAGTTCTTTTCTTCTGGGTTAATATTGCTGAAGTGTCTCTTGACGGCGCCGATCTCGATTTCTCCGTCGGAATCGCTTCGGCGAGTTTTCCGGCGGCTGATTTTGAAGAGAGTCCTCAGTGTGGTTGTGGGTTTGATTGTAATAATGGGCTTTTATTTTCTTCTTGAATCTGTTGGGCCTTGCGTTGTACTGAATAAAAATGCCCTTTTCTTATGACTGGCTTATGAGTATTATTATTAATGTACTGAATAAACCTAATCATACAAACATTAATATAAAAATGCCCTTCTCTTATGATTAATTAATGTTTGTATGATTGTTTCTTCATGTCAATTTGCGCTTTCAGAGACTATTAACCTTTTTTGACTTTCTGTTTTACACGGGAAACTTCTTTGAAGTTTGAACCAAAATATAAATTTAAGCGACCATAATAATAAAAATAAGAAAACTGGTCAAGTTGTAGCATAGTTTATTTATTTTTTTTACGGAAAAATGGGTAATGCTTATACAATTTTTGTAGGTTTTATGAAAAAAACTTTTCAATTCACTAATTTTTGCAAAATCTTTTTATTTTTAAAAAATACATATTAATCTTACAAATATAATATAACTATTTTTTGTTATCGTCAAATTTTGATAAATAATACGTTAAATAGAATTTTTCGCGACTAAGAGTTTAACTTTATCTTTAGAATTTTTAAAATCTAATGCACATAACCGTGAAAATGTTAATAATTTACGTATAAAATTATATTACATATTATTTTTGATTTTGTATGATTAATCGGTACTCCCTCCGTTTCGTTTTAGTTGTCGTTTAACGTTTTTTCGCACAAATTAAGAAAAGCATTTAATTTTCTGTTTTACTCTTTATTAATATATTTTATAAAAAATTTCATTGGCTAAAACATTAAAACAGTAGAGATAAAACTGAAATTTTTACCAAACATTTGCATTGAAAACCTAAAACGACAACTATTATGAAACAAAATTAAAATCCTAAAATGACAATTAAACTGAAATGGAGTTAGTATTTTTTAGAGACGAAGAGTGAAAAACCATTTTTATAAGAGTGAGTAAGTCATGTGCAATTTTTTTGTCTTTTTGTGTACAAATGTCTTGATAAAATTTATTTCATAATTATCCAGTAACTTTTCCCAAAATAATTGTCTCACCACCACAACATGACAGCCTGTGATAGCTAGCCACGTGTCCAGTTGTCTACCTAAAAACGTCGTCGTTAATATCTTACAAAAGATATTTTCAACGACCATTATTACAAAAAGTCTCCGACGGAAAAACGAAAATCCACCGGCGGAGAAATCAAAAACCAAAAATCAAATCTTTTGTTTCACCAAAACCCAAATGTCTCATCTCCCGATTCTAATCGCTTCTTTACTCTTCCTCTCTTCACTCGCCGCCGTCGTCGCCGCCGAATCGGATACTCCGACGGCGTATTCACTCCTCCAAAGCTACAACTTCCCCGTCGGAATCCTTCCAAAAGGAGTCGTAGCTTATGATTTAGACACAACAACAGGCAAATTCCATGCGTATTTCAACGATTCATGTAGCTTCTCTCTTGTGGGTTCTTACCAACTGAATTACAAATCAACAATCAGTGGTTACATCTCCGAGAACAAGCTCAAGAAATTGACTGGTATTAAAGTCAAAGTTTTGTTCTTGTGGCTTAACATCGTCGAGGTTATTAGAAACGGCGACGAGATGGAGTTTTCTGTCGGAATCACTTCGGCGAATTTCGCGATCCAAGAGTTTTTGGAATCGCCTCAGTGTGGTTGTGGATTTGAGTGCAAGGAATCGAAATCGAGAAACCCTTTTGTTTCTTCGTCTTGAATTTGAAATAAAGGTTCTATTTTTTTACTAGTTTGTCAACAAAAAGATTGCATCTTTTATGTCTTGTCCAATAATATGAGCGTAGTTTCTGGAATTGATATCTGTTCGCGCAATTGTTGCTTCAGTTCCATGTTCAAGTGTAATGGTAAAAGAAAAGTAATTGAAGGGAGATGTGAACATTGTGAAGTGAAAAATATAGCTCAAAACCATGAATTTGGCTGATTTATTATCTGATGTTGTCTTTAGATTGAATGTTTATTTGTTCATAAAGTTCGTTTTTAATTCATGGCCCTGGATAAAGTGTACTCCTTATTGGTGTTGATTTGGTTTGGATGAGCTGAGACTGAGAGTTAGGATTGAACTGCTGTTAGTAGAGAATCCATCGAGTTTACGGGACTGTTTCGATCGATCTTTTAGATATTTGATCTCGGATAGGGTTGAGCTGCAGTTGTAGAATTAGAATCTATCGATCTCTCTGGTGGAGAATTTGGCTTGCAGATATTAGAGATAGTTAGTGAAGATGTTTTTGGTAGATTCTTGTGATTTTTTTTATCTGTGTCGGGATGAATTAGGACGTGGTTCTTTGAAGATCTACAATATACCATTGTGTCGATTGGTCTATCTGATTTACTAGCCTTCATAGGCTCAATAGTAACATTAACTGGGAAATGTCCCAATAACTCTTAACTATGGATCTACACTGATTTCCCTTGTTTGAGATAGATGTCTACCGTTGCAGACATTCTATGAATGTAGATTGAATTACAGGTTAACATGATCATAGATCACAATCTTTTGTATAAGGTAAGATTTCATTGCTGACTAGAACATAAAAAAGGGTTATAGAGATTTTAGGTTGTTTTCTTGTTCTTCAAGTGGGCTTTTGAGATGAAAGGTTTAAAGCTTAATTCAACACCCTGTTATATGTCGAATAAGCGGTTTTAGTTTTCCGGTATTGGATGCTTAAACTCAATCCTCGCAAGGTTTCATCTACGTTATTACAGTTTTGGTCTTAAGCCTTAAAGGTAAAGATATGTTTTTTTGTCGTGAACGGATTTGAAAAAACAAATAAGAAATCACTGGTTGTTCCTACTCAACATTCTATCCCCCGTTGTTAAACAGTTTAATGTTGCAAGCCAAGCGATGAACGAGTATTTAGGTGTGGCGTGTGAGAACCATGTGAGAACCATATACCTTTATACCATTCTATCTTTGGCTTCAGCCACAGTTGCTTTAATACAAATTCCCATGTCAATACAACCTCTATGGCCCGTAATCTCAATTAACCGCCTTAGTGGGGACCAAATATCGTACCAAAATGATACTCCCTCTGTTTCTTTAAGTTTGATGTTTTGGTTTTTTTCTTTGTTCCAGAAAGTTTGATCTTGTAGAATTTATTTAATGTATTTGTTTTATTTAAATTAAAATGGAAAAAGAGGGTAATGATGGAATGTGAAACTCCCACTTTTGTTGCATTGTTAGTAACAAATACGTTATCTTCCATCTAAATAATCATATATTTTAATTAAATAATAAAGAATTTTTATTTCTTAATTTATGTGCAAAACTCAAAACATCAAACTTGAGGGAACAGAGGGAGTATGTTCTTTCCATTCTGCACCTCATACTTGACAAAGTCTGATGCTATACCCCGATATTTAAGAAGCTTTCGCCACATCCAAAATCATAATGTTGAACTTTCTCGTATTGACCAAGAAGAGCCTTTCCGTAGTAAGTAAAGTCTGAAGTCATTGTATCCCATATAGAGTTAGATGATGACAGTCTCCAAATGAGTTTTAAACCTAAATAATATCATGAATTGGGATGGAAATTTTTCTAATTTAGATTGCATTTATTATCATGTAATTCATTATTATAAATTGAAAAATTGAAAAACATGTAGTTCATAATAATAATATTAATAAAATGACAAAAAATACCTTATTTCTAATATGAAAAATACTCTAGGTTTTGGTTCAAGATTTTTCGGCTATCAATATTAAAAACTAAAAATGTGGAAAATTATTATTAAAAATCACAATTACAATCATCTAGAAAGAAAATAAATGAGATAGTTCTGTGGGAGGCATCACATTATTCAGGTCCTTGTCAAACGAATTATGCAGGCATCGAATAGAAGTCGTGTCTAGGAAAAGATCATAAATAAATAAAAATATCAAATTAACAAAAAATAGTCAACTATTGATGACTTTTCAATTTTGGAAGAAAAGAATATGGAAAGTCTATGGTGCTTGTTCATTCAAATCCAATATACATTTCTGATATGCATAAGGATTTACTGGTACGTAGCAATAGTTTTTGTAGTATAAGAAAAACACTATGTGCATTCATTATTTGGTAACGATTTTTTTCCTAACGAACCGAATCATTATTTGGTAACGATTTTTTACTGGTACGTAGCAATAGTTTTTGTAGAAAAACACTATGTGCACATAGGATTTACTGACACCTATCCGAACCGAAACCGAACCGATGACTTATAAAATCCGAACGGATAATAAATTCTTCTATTCAAATTATCCGAATCCGAATATATCCGAACCGAAACCGAACCAAAAAATCAGAAAATCCGAACGGATAATAAACTCTCATACCCGAATATATCCGAACCGAATCCGATTTGAAATCCGAATGCCCAAGCCTAGTACATACTATATAATATAGTAACTATTTTATTCTCGTGAAATATCTAGCATTATCAAGCCTTTAAAAGGTGCTAGAACATAAGTTACTCGACTATATTTTCAAACTTCTTTTTTCGTTTGTTTTTTTCTAATTTCAATGCATGACATTATGGAACGATAACAAACATTACTTTTTTTAGGTTAGGTATCAAACAAAAGGATGATTTAGTTTTTCTGATTTTTAGTGTATTTATTATACAAATAGCAGGGATTAATTAGGATCATCTTATGTCTAGTCCCTATCAAAACATGTGCGAAAACTTATCTTTGAGTACACGGAATATACCAACTTTTTATTGTTCATATTCCATCATTTTTTGAACTACTAGAATTTGTTAGTCTACATCCAAATCACTTGTTATTATGCAAATTATGACTCCATATATAAAATGATTGGATACGAATTGGCAAACAACTCAAAAGAATAAAGGAACATATGTAACAAAAGAGATGACTCAATTATTTATAGTCAAGTAAAAGAAAATTCAATGCTAATAGGATTCGATGTACCAAGTTGCCTCTCTCAATAAGTCTCTCTCAAGTCTCAAAGCCTTAGAGCATAATTGACTCTTCAAAAGAAGACAGGACACGTCTTATGTTTCTTTGCCCTTTTGAATTCTTTAACTTCACCTTCAAATTAAATAGTATCTCTTTTTCTTAGGTTCAGTTTTCAAAATGGATTAATCTAAAAATATCCTTATAAATTAGATATGGTTAAATACTAGTTTTGAAATTTATTTTGTCAATGATGATGATTGAATTAATTTTCCAAAAATTAAGAAATGATTTTTAGTCTTTTTTTCCATATACCATGTAAGTTGAATAAGAGAATCAGGACAGAAAAAAAAAAAGAGAGAGAGAATCAAAGTGTGGTTTGATCTTTGAGTCTCAATGTCTCATTTATATGTATGAAATAATTACTTCACTAAGACAAAGATTTAATAATTGACCCTCACTAAAGAAAGTAAAAAATAACGTAGAACATTTTATAATCATTGTCATTGATCAATGTGTGATTAGATGAACGCGAAGAGGTCAACTTAAGTTGTCTACTAAACCTGACATACACTTGTATAAAATATACTTATAATAAAGGAACGGTCGAAAAAGGTACAAAACAATGTCTTTAAAACTAATTTAAGTTAATTAACTACATTATTAAAGGATTTCTACGCAAGTAGCAGCTGTTGCTAAATGCACTGCCACTAATTATAAATCAAGAGACAAGATTCTGTCGATTAGATCCATGCAAGGAACAAAACCGTATAATTAAGAAGCTTTATATTTTATCGAATTATTGTTGAGTTAACCATGAATACCTAATGCTTATCTATGCATATGCTATGTGCCAATAATTCATCATTACATTCCTTTTAATACGTTATCACATACGTTAATTAATTAGATAAATTAGAAAAACACACATCCTCTATATATTAAAAGAGCTTTATATATTAGGGAAATTGTTAAAAATACCCCTTTTGGTGTGCCCCTTTTCAAAAATGCCCCTTTTAGATGTCCATTTTCAAAAATGCCCCTTTTTAAATCTGAAATTTTTATAAAGTTTTATTAGGTTTATAAGGTACTTATGGATTGTAACTACTACTTGAAGACTCGATCCAAGTATTTATAAGGTTTTATAAGGTGTTTTTAAAGGTTTTACAAGTTATTTTAAAGGATTTTTAAGGTTTTTCAAAGGTTTTACAAGATATTTTAAAGGTTTTTAAAGGTATTTAAAATGCATTTATAAGGTATTTATAAAGTATTTATAAGATTTTAGATATATAGAAATGTAGTTTGTGTATGTTTTAATAATATTACATACATATTTGGATAAATCTTATATTTTTAAGAGCATTTTTTATAAGGTTTTAAAAAAAGGGTATTTTTGAAAAGTGGCATTGAAAAAGTAGCATTTTTGCAAAAGCCCCAATATATTAATAGAGAGTTTTTGGAGTTTATGTGTCAAGCTCACAATTATTCTCATTTTTGTTTTTTTCATTTTATTTTATTATACTATTCATTTTGCCAAACACTTCTAATTTCATATACTACTTATTCTTATTAACTAAACTTAGATTAAATATCTCAAATTTTGAAATAAGAAAACTTCGATAAAATGTTTTTATATATTAAATGCATTGTATTTCTCAATTGAAAAATTAAACCATATAAACATATAGTATATATATATATATATATATACGTTTTAATATCAACAAATTCTTTCATACATTATAAAAATTTAAATTGAAAATGCTAATCTATGAGTCTAAATTTTTTTGAATAACGAAAATACAACTTTATTTGTATCATATAAATAATTAAAATATTTAAAATTCAATTTGTAAGTTTATCAATACACTAAAAGGTTGTATTATTGCATGGTATTCTATTGCACTATTTTAATTAAAATATTTTAGCGCATTTATAAAATTTAGTTTTAACATATCGAAATTCAATATACAAATTTTGATATTTTAAAAAATTGTTTTATTATAAATTAAAGGGAAATTGTTAAAAA